AGTGTTTCATGTGTTTGAATGTGTGGTTTAAGAGGTACTGGCCAAAATATCATAGCAACCATTAAAGATTGAGCGTAAATCAAGACAAAAACAGAACTATTGGTGGGCGTTTGCAGGCATGAACACTGATGGAGTTCTCCAACTGCCTTGTTAAAATGCTGAAAAAACATCTTGTGATATTTTGATGCATTACTTACTCTTTAATTTTAATGTAAGATATTATTTACTTTAACATGTGGATTCCAGTTATAAGAAAACTAGATTTTTCCATTCTAAGAAAAAGAGTTTTGCTGAAAAACCATGTACACAGTGAACCCCAGCTTAACTGAAGCAGTGACCAGCTCCCTCTTATTCTATTAACCCAGTTACCCTACTTGACATGTGGCAAGGGTCAGTGTAACAGGTTCAGGGGGTACATGGTGCCCTAGATCTTCAGTCCTGCTAAGAAAAGAGCCTATGAGAAAATGTGACAGTTATATAATTTCCCTTACACTTTCAAATAAAAGGGACTGTACAAGATAGAAGGTGTAATTTCTGTAAAAATACAGTATAGTACAAGTGCCTTATCATTATCTACAATAGATAGTTTTTCTTTTTTGGAGGAACTACTTGTTAGGCATCCTTGCTCTGCTTTTAGATTTATTGTCATTCTCACAGGGCTACTGAGAATGTCTGATCCACATGCAGTTGTTCTTGATCTTTCCCACGGTGATTCAGGTGCATTCAGTAAAAGATGAACTGCTGCAGTTTATGAGTTTACGAGTAGTGATTTGCAGGTCATAGTAACTTGTTTTGGACAACAACCATCACACAAATCATCAACACTTGGCCTTCGGCCTCTTTCAGCCTTTTGTCCAAAGTGCAACAGGGACGGGTTCAGGTGCTCTTTAACATGTGCAGCCATCAGAAAAGTAGTAATTTAACATCTCACTATACTTATTTTGTAAAATACACAGTCTGCATTCAGCAAGTAAAAGTAAGTACATCTCAGCAATTCTATTTTCTTTTCCAATAACTTTTAATAATCTGAGCACACATACTGGATTTGACAGCTGCACTAATGGATTTATTTCTTTTGAATCTATTCATTGTTAACACCATCAGTTCCTCTCTCTCTTATTAGCAATCCCTTGTTGTTGCCCTGCTGGTTTACACAACATAGACCACTGCTAGAAGCTGAAATCATCTAAAAACAGCACCATCTAGGGCCCATAAACTCAGAACTGCAGTCAGCATGTTCCATGAAAGGTAACCAAGAATGCACTTTGAGAAGTTAAAATATCAGCAGGTCTTTTTCTGAAGGAGTCAACATGGATACAGTGCTGGAAAAGCTGAGATGATGGACAAAAAACTTTCATAAATACTGTTAAAATCATTGAAATAGTCATAAATCTATCCTGTTGTAACATTCTTCCACTTCAGAGAGAGAAAAAACAAACTGTGATTCAGCTGTGTGCAGATTTGTCTCTCTTTGAATGTGACATCTTTTGATCGGCCCATGAGCGCTTCATCATGTGTAGTGAGAGGGCGGGCCTGGCTCCTGTGGAAAACTGTGCGAAGGCAGTTGTAGAGGCAGTGGTGATTCCTCCAAACTTTTTTTCTGTCACAGATACTTATATGGGTATTTGTTTATGTAACTGTGCTTGCATCGGCCCACGCCTCCCTCTTAAATCAGCTCTGGCAAGCCAGAAAGGAGTTCAAGGTTCAAATAAGCAGGTGAAACAACTTGGTTGGAATAAGTTTATTGCTTGTTAGTCTGTGCTGTGCGCTGTATATGTTAATTACTCCCACAGTAGCTGCATATGTGCACACTTATAGCTGTGGCCAATGAGCAACTCTGCTTCATTAGGTCAAATAATCATGCTTAAAGGTGGATTAGCAGTAGACAGTGAACAAAGAGATCTTCCATTTGTTGTCACATTTCTCCAGACTGTCTGGAGACTTTCCACCAGACTGACAACTACTGTTTGTCCAGTTTCTCCTAAACAACAACAGCTCATCATCACAACTCATTATTTCTTCTGTTCCCTTGTACCTCACATCCTCATTACACATGCAGAAGGAGGGAGGAGGGAGGCTCTCAAACAATGGGTCAGACTTGTCCTCAGCCTCTCACACGCTGAGCGTTTTAATAGCTAGTTTGATTACACAGTTGGACATAAATTTGGCACATCCCTCTAGAAGCTCTTTGTTCAAACTTCAGAAAGGATGAAGAGTGAAATGTAAACCAGGATTAATCTGGAAGATTTCTTCAAGGACTCCTGCTAGTTTACAATTTGTATTTACATGACTAAACCTGCTACAAAGGTTTTACTGGTAGCCAGAACCACTAAGCTTCTGGGGTTTGATCAGTCAGTCTTACCAGATATTGCACATGATGTTGTTCCTGTAAACTAACGGGATAAAATCTCTTTAGGCTGATAGGTTGGTGTTAAAGTAAAGGTGAGTAAATATGAAAGTTTTTGTACAGTAATCAGCTCAGTAACATATCGTGACCAGTCAGCAAGCTGCATAAAGCATCCACTTCACTAACAGATGGGTAAGGTTTACATTTATAGTATGACTAATATCAAATAAAAGTAGGTTAATAATAGGGTTAGAATCAAATAAGGATAGCAGTTATTGTATACAGTGTATCTATGGATGATTTATATATTGCTTGCATCTCTACAAAAGCTTGAATGGCTCTAACTTACAATATGAGAAAGAACTGTGTTGGATCAAGTCATGTTGTGTGACAAGTAACTTACAATATGAGAAAGAACTGTGTGGGATCAAGTCATGTTGTGTGAGCTCTATGTACATGAGACATGACTAATTGTGTTACACTGCACAGGAAGTAGTTTTGTAATGACACGTCTAAGAGCATTCACTTATGTGAAGTGATACTAACGTTGTTGTTCCTTCTTATGATGCCGTCATAGGCCGTTTGTTGACTCTGCGCTGAATGATCTTGTTTTGCTTCTTGGACTCTAGACAACAAGTACAATTACACTGCAGCTGTGCTCAGAACTGACTAAAGTGCTTTTAGCTCTGTGAAGGGGTTTGGGATTCAAATTATTACACTGTAAGGATGGCAGTAAGCAGACACGACAAATCAGATTTTCCACAGTTTTGTCTGTACCTGAAAGAAAAAAAGATTTATTCTTCTTTTTAAATGTGACTGTTTCAATGAGTAGCACAACTACTACCTCTGAATGACAGAAAATAACAATACTTTGTGTATGATGTAATGTAAAAAGCTAGTGTACCAATCCATTTTTAAGATGTATTGTGCTTGAAAAGACTCATTGATTATCAAAATAGTTGGATATTAATTTTCTGCTAACTTCTATTTCAGCACTACCTGTATTATAAACAATGAACTCAATTAAAAGGACAATTTTACATTTTATCTAAATCTGAAAGTACATTTTAAAAAATAACAGAACAAAGTTGACACCAATATGACTGATTATTTTGTCTTAAAATCAGCAGCAGCCAGATCCCCAAACGATAATTTTACAAATTGATACAAACTTCTGCTGATGATTATTTAAAATTTTACCCAAAATATGTATGATATTTATTGCCAGATGTGAGGCTTTCAGGCCCTGCTTGTGTCTCTATAGATCCATTCCGAAATTGTGTGGTATTAATTTTTAGTACTGATGCTGAAAATAGGGCATTAAACCCAGATTGCATAGACACATTTCAGTCCTGCGGGTCACTTTGACCACTGTCAGGTTAAGTTAAACTCTGCCCTGGAGGACTTGGTACAGTGCTCAAAAACTAATTACTGGAGAAGGAAGTACACGTTGCTCTCCAACAAGATGTGGGATCTAAAAATTCCCATGCTACCACAACACAGCATGACTCCTCACTCCAACCGGGACCTTTTTGCTGGTGGAAACTGCAGGGACAGTCCTGAGGGAAGACAGTGACTGATGATTGCTCGTAATCAGCGCCTGTGTTTTACACTTCCTGACTCATGTTATTTGGACAGACTTTCATTTATTCAAGATTGTCTCTCTCTTATACAGCTTTGCTTGTGGAGGAACCGAGCCAACATCACACCAACATGGAGACATCCACGCTAGGTTATCCCTGTCACACTTCGAGAACTACCCAGATCCGCCCACATCCCCGGAGAGAGACTATGTGAGAGAGGGGGGAGGCAGGGAGAGAGAGAAGAGAGGGACGGCAATTCCTGTGTGCATGTTTGTCTTTGTGTATGTGAGTGCGACAGAAATAGAGAGAGAGGGAGGGAGTGTGCGCCTGTGTGTTTCCTCTCCTGCAACGCCGCCTGTACCTCACCTCTACTTTTAATTGGTTGTGGAGTTGCTGTCATCATGGCAGCCGCCGGAACAGTCCGTGCACATCATGCTTTCTGCACAACTGGCTTTACAAAACACCCCACATGACCTCTAATCACTTCGATTGCCTTTTAATTAACCCCACAAAAACGATTGCCCCTTGGTGCATTGTTCAGTGAACAAGCGAATGAAGCTGAATCCCGCAAATAAATTGTTAGACAAACTGTTGCTTATTAACAAACGTGTTCATATTCTACAATTACTATATCACGACCTTGCCGTATATCAACGAACATGTCTGTGTAATGTTGGTATGCTGAACATCCGAGAGGCTACTCTCTGTTCCAGTAAAGACAGATCATCTCTGGTTTCCCTCCCTTCCATGCATGCACGTTGATAAACGCTGATCCTCTTTCCGGTACCTTTGGCTCTGCGTTGATAACTGCGTAGTTTGTTCTTCTTAATCGTTTGTCTCTGTCTCCCTGCACAAATCCCTCCCTTCTCTTCACATGCAAACTCCCTCCCTCCTCTGTGCGCTGACACAGTCACTATCACACTTACACACGCGCGCGCACACGCAAACACTTCTCCCCCGCACACTCCCTCCGTCTTGGTGCTGTCTCATTCACTTCAGTACGCCATCCACGCACTGACTCCAACATGAGGCGGGGGGGCGGGGTAGGATAAATACCTCCAAGAGCAGGCCACATGCTACACTGAGACTGGATCCACTTGCAGTGCAAGCCACAAGCAAGAAGACTCCGAAGCCGAGAGTAGAAGTACCAACATTTATCCTGGAGCTTAGAGAGACAAAGACAAGCGAGATCAGAGAGTTTGTTTCGACGGACTGTCTACTGGAGCTCCGATACAACCGATTCGTCACTCTGCTATACACCAGTTTCTCTGGATATAGCAGCTAAACAAAGTTGGTAGTAAACTCTTTGGAGTTTGGTTAGAGTCACTATTTTTTTTCTTTGCTTGTGAAAGTGGACTGCACTGAAACTTGGGATCGACCCTCCTGGGGTCGGGCTTGGACCTGGCGCATCTTTTCCGCTGCTTCAAACGCTGCGAAAGTTTTGGCCAGAGCGCAGATCTGAAGACTTCGAGTCGAGTCAGACTTTGAGATACACTCAGCAGCTGCTACCCGAGCCCAGCACCAAGACAGCTGGTCACGCCGGATAGAGAGCCACTGACAAGACTTTGAAAGACGCGTTTCAAGGTAAGCAAAGGCGACAGGTGTTTCTTTAGTTTTGCTTTCTGTCGACCCGTTTGTAGACTGTGTTGGAGACGCGGTGCTGATGACGGACACATGAATCTGGTCCTGCAGCTTCTGCAGACCTGTCTGTTTGAAGGCGTGTGTCGCTGTCCGTGGTGCTGAAAGTCTCCCTGAAGTCTCCACCGACTTCTGTTCTGCTGAAATGTGCGAGCAACGTGCATCTATTAAATTGCCTTTATGTCCCGTAATCCTCCTTAATGTCTGTTTACTGCCAAGTTTTTCAATTTGCTCGAACGTTCTGCAAACATTGTCATTTATGAAGTCGGCTATTAGTGCAATAGCCTGGTCACGCCGCTGTGCGAGGCTGCGTGAACGATCAGCAGTAGAAAGTTGGACTCTGACAACAGGTTGCTCGGTAGAACTTTCTGGTGTGCTTGTACCTCTTACACTGCATAATACACCGGTGTGTGGTTGTGGAAGATGTTGTGATCTTCATAATACAAACCCACTTATGTTCATTACAGGTGCTATCGTGGTTGCTTTTGCAACGTCTTCAACAACTACAAGGATATGAAACCTTCTTACAGTTGTTTGAATGAATGACTGTCCACTTTGATTAAGATTTTGACAAGCTTTGCACAACAGTCAGTTAACAGGCTGGATTTTATTTGCTCTGCTTGTTTCACTTTTCTTTAAGGAAAAAAGATTAAATAACCCACTATGGAGATGCAAAGGACCAATTCATTCGAATGCTGAACAAATAATAGTATTACCAGCCAGCAAGACTGTAACTGTGAATATAAACAGCAGGCACATTCTTTACACCTTGTCCCAAGATGCATTTTAGCAATCTGCAGTTACTTGTTTAGTTTTGCCTTTTGCTGTTTCTGCTGTCAGGTGGATTTGCAACAAAGCTACTAATTGTTCTATTTTCTTGCTCATGTATGGGAGTACTTTCTGCTGGTACAACAAAATAAAAGCATGAGCAATTTGTGCATGAAGGATTACTTGTAATGCCTACAAAAATGGCTGTTATTTAGTTTGCTTCAGCAACAAAAGGGAAACTTATAACAAAAAGAATGAGGTCAGGAAATTATGTGATCAACTGGGGGAAAGTCTCATCTTGAGAAGCTCCAGTGTCCGGTAGGTATACCTACCGACCTTCCAGGCATAGCATTACTTTGTTTTATTTTAATTTTGGACTTTCTGATTTATCTTTATACAGTCTTCTGGTTAAGTCATGCAAATTACTTAAACATCTACAGACATTCACCTGCAGCCAGTGAAAATGTCTTTACACTTTTCACAGTGTATAATGTTTGTTATAATGTCTTGTTTCCTTTGGTTCAGTAAGGTAACTATAGCTTTCTATATCTGTGATGAGTCAGGCTTCTACAAACTTGTGCAGGCTGGCATGTCAGTGGTGTTTTTCTCACCAATCTGCAAAAAATAAATCGTCTCCATAACAACAAACTGCCTGCTCTTTAGGCTGCCTGCTTTGCAGAAATATTGTTGACAACAGCAAGTGGACAAAACCGAGAGAAGAGACAGAAGGGTCATGGAAAGAAAAGTGAGAGAAAGAGCAACACAGAAACAGAGTGCTTCTATGACAGCTGGACCACTTTCTTTTCACTGTGTGCCTCATCAGATGCCGATTCATGGAGCTTCCGGTTGATGGGAGGTGGGAGAGAGAGACACCCACCTACACAAAGCAGAGGTCTTTGCTGTGTTGCTCATAGCGAGGAGAGGGAGGGTGAGAGGGAGGCAAAGAGGGAGGGAGCGATCTGAAAAGAGATGTTAGGAAAGTAATTATGAGATCTCTGCCTGAAAAGTGCAGGTGCTTCTCAAAGTGAATGTCGCTGCAGGCATCAATTGTGCTGCTCTGTCTCTGCGCTGCCCCTTCTTTATGATTAACCTCTCGGTCACATACAGCAAATACATGCATTTATAAGTAACCCTTAAATAATACTGCAAGCTTCCTTCCTGCAGAAACTGTATAAATCCCTGATCATTTTTCAAGCTGTTTAGTTTAGCGGGATGATGCCTTTGGTGTGTTCTGCAACCAACAATCAGTGACAAATGAAAAAAATAAACCTAAAAACATGAGACTGCAAAAATAATAACCCTGAATTTGTATGAAAGATGTTGCTGAGCAACAGTGTTTCATCCTCCTCTTTGAGCTCCAGGGAGCAGCTTCCATTATTTCAGCCAGTCCACTGGACTACAGAGACCTTGAAATTGACAGAGCTGGTCCTTCAGTGGCACAGGTCAGAGTCTCTGCAAGATGGAGTAAAGCATCTTGCAAAGCATATTTGCAAGATGCTTTAAATAAAGTGAAGAGAGGTCACTGTGGATGCATCACTGAAATTCATGTATCCCTTCTGCAGAGTAGCATCTATAACTAGCTAAGTTTTAGTGATATACAAAATGTGCATACATTAGCATTAATATGCAGAAGTGACTGTCATTAGTCACTTTAGGTGCATTTTTCATTTCACTGTATGCTTTGGTATGTTATGCAGAAAATATCCCCTTAGCAGTTTTTGAGATGCCACAGTAAGGTATGTGATCACACTTTGCCATGGACACAGACAAACCATTTCTCTTGTTTACAGCTGAACTGGAGGAGTGCATTGTACAAGCGTCTGTGGTTGCCAGTGGCAATGCGTGTATGGACGTCAGACTGACGCACATGATTCGCAGTTCAGTTTGGTGTGTGGGAGGAAAGAGCATGAGCGTGGAGATACCAGCTTGCTGTGAAGGACTGTAATTACTGGGCTAGAGCAATTATGTCCCAAAGAACGGGGCATTTTAGATCGTTGAGTTCGCCCTGAAACACTGATATAACGATGATACTGATCAGAGGCAAATCCCTGATGCATCAATATCAGCTCAAAATGGGACCAATTAAAATGGGCCTCATGAATATTGTGAAAAAAATGCATTTCATTTGGAGAAAGTGTTTATCCTGCACACTGATTTTTTTTTTTTTTTGTTATAGCATGCTAGAAAAGATATTTTCCTCATTTTCATTCTTTGTTTCTCTGCAGCTCCCTCACTGACACAGACATGACAGTCTGTCTGATGCACTAAAACCTGCAAATCCAGCAAGTTTTCAGAGGGATTTTGAAGATAAGTCAAAAGATCTGAAACAAGTGCAGTAACTTGCAACAAAGAAGTCAAAGAAACAACTTGGTGAAACTAGCAATCACAGAAAGAAGAAGAACATCATCCTCTACCTAAGCCGACCTAATGGCGTGGTCAGCTCTTACCGGCCCCTGTGTGGCCTTCATACTGCTCTTCTTTGGTTTGACCTCCTGCACTCCCTCTGGCCCAGCCTCTGCCACCTGTGCCACCCTGGAACAGAGTCGCTTCTTTGGTGTATTCTCCTCTACGACCACCCTGCCCTCTACACCATGCTCCTGGACCTTGCAGAACCCCGATCCTCGCCGCTACACAGTCTACATGAAAATCACCAAACCCACTGACTCCTGCGTGCCCCGCCAGATCAGGACCTTCCAGTTCGACTCCTTCATCGAGACCTCCCGCACATACCTGGGCATGGAGAGCTTTGACGAGGTGGTCAGGCTGTGTGATGCTTCAACCACTGTAACCTACCTGGAGTCAAGCAAGCAGTTCCTGCAAATTCGCAAAGTGGCATCAAGAAATGGCCTGGAGATTGTGGAAGAGGAGAATGATGTCAGCGAGTTCAAGGCTGAGTTTCTGGTTGTGGGGAAGAGGAACCCAAGTATGCCTGCCTGTCAGATGTTGTGCCAGTGGCTGGAGAAGTGCCTGTCCAGTAGCACACATGATTATCCCTGTGGCATCATGACCACCCCCTGCCAATGCTGGGAGGCTCCAAAGAGGAAACCAGGAAGCTGCTACAGAGGCGGTGTTTATGTCGAAAATTGCCTTCCTGTTCCCAAAGACAATGGACGCGATGCTGAGATTATCAGTAAGTTTGTAACTTATTTGCTTTGATTTACCTCCAGAGTAAACTTTTTCAAATGCAATAGAAAGTGGAAAACACTAATCTCAGGAGATTGATCCAAACATCTTGCCTCAAAAGAAAGAAACAAAAACAACGTGTTCCCCTCTGTTTGGTTTACTGTTTTTTAATGGCATCTATTAGGCTAGACTCTTGATGGCAAGGGGAGAAGGGGGCACTCACTTGGTGTTTGTGTCTTCAGAGCTGCTAAGGATAACGATCCATGTCTGTAGAAGAGGGGCACAGACGGTGGATGTGCACTTCACTACCACTAAGTAATGAGAAGTAAATCAAAGGTGTTAGAGAAAATTGCTGGTACATCTTCAGGCCTAAGTGGCAAGACTGCCTGAATCGCACATGTTGCCTGCTCCCCATTTTGCACAGACATTAGGTTAGATGCTTGGCAAGGAGTCAGGGGTTTCTGGAGAGAGCGAGAGGCCATGTGCATCAGGCAGAGAAGGGCTAGAGAGGAACACAAAGACCTCAGTCAGCTGGCAGCGGAAATTGAAGCGCAGCACTTGCGGTCGTCATAGCAACGCGCCTGTTGGCCTTACACACTGCTCTGCCATGGTTCACACCAAGTGGTTAAAGCCAAACAATCACCATTTCAAATAGAATATCGGCTTGAGTGCTTGGTTCTGCTAACAAAGAATCGGCCTTGCTCATTCTCTGCACATAAATAATTTTCACTTCCTGTTCTAACTTATGAAGTTTACAGAGGGAGTGTTTGTTGAGTCATGCTTTTGTACACTTATTGTACAAAGAAACCAGGGTTATCAAGTTTTACACTACTACATTAGTGTAATTTCATGCAACAGTGTCAGTTTCCAGCCTTGCTCAATGGCTTTTCTCCTCTCTTCCCGCTGAAGGCTGGGCTGGCTGGGGCCGCTGGTCTGTATGCAGTCAGGAATGTGGTGGTGGAGTCCAGGTGCGCAGCCGAACCTGCCAGCCCGAGGACAGTGTGTGTGAGGGAACAGCTGAAGAAGGACGCGCCTGCAATCCTCAGGCCTGCATTGGTAAGCCCACCTATCATTTAGTCAGGTCACTGGGCGCACTCAGGCACAGGTGGCTCAGATTCAGTGTAATAATTATGCAATTTTCTAATTCTCCCAGGCAAAGAGCGCAACAGGAGCCAGGGTCTGCGGGCCATCATTGGTTTAAAGAGAGACAATGCTGATGATTCCAACCAGGGAGTTGGTGCAACCCAGACTGGTAAGATAACAGTGGGCATTTTAGAGCTTGGTACAGTATATAATTGTATTAGTTAGAGTGCAGATTTTTCAGATTCATAAAAAGTGACTGTCTGAATTCAACCAGCTAAAGGTGGATCAGAGATTTGTAACCTTTCTGTGTTGAGGACCTGGTGTGCTGACCCTCTAATTCATCTTGTCCACTGTAGATACTAAGACAGACGAGTGGTCATCCTGGAATGCATGTTCAGTCACATGTGGGGAGGGTTGGCAGAGCCGTACACGTGTTTGTGCTACATCCTCCTTCACTTCCCAGTGCAGTGGACCCCTGCGTGAGAATCGGCTCTGCAACAACACGGCCGTCTGCCCAGGTCAGTACCTGATTCCTTTTCTCCAGTGTGAACATGACAGGGAGAAATGGGAAAAAGAGAGTGTGATTTGAAACGGTTAGGGACTTACATTTTTTGAGGTACACAATAGAGGTAAAAGCCATTATCCATCCATTATATAAAGGTATTAGCCATTTTTTTGGAGTCTTCCACACACTGAGATCCAGATTGTGGATTAAAGGCTGTAATGTAATATCAACTACATTTCACTGATAGTTAGTTAGTGCTGTGTCTCAGGGATGGTACAGAGGATTGCCCCACCTAGTGGAGAGTACTAGCTCAAAACATTTTTTTAAACAAACGATAACTTCCTTCATTAAAATATTCTTGTGTGTTAATGCATGTGTAGTGGATGGTGCTTGGGATGAGTGGACCCCCTGGAGCCTGTGCTCCTCCACATGCGGCCGTGGTTACCGTGATCGTACCCGCACATGCAAAATGCCCCAGAATGGAGGAGAGCCTTGCCGTGGCCCTTCAAGACAAACCAAGTTTTGTAACATTGCTGTCTGCCCAGGTGAGCCAGGGATCTAATATGTCTAAGTTACTTTTTCACTGCTGACTTAGATTTGTGGGTATACAATGTAATTTAGTTTAAATTTATTTCTTCTATAAGCCAGTGTATTTATTTACTACCATACTTAAAAATCTAACTAAAAAATGAAGTGACTCTACCTATGATCAGATGATATGATACTTGATCCTTCAGCAAACTGATTCATATATGAGTGGTAATGGCATCACCCCCATCACAAACAGCCATTGTAGTGGCACTCTGACGTTACATTTGATGCATCAACACAATAAAAGTCTCCACAGACATTAGTCACTGGCTTTGTATGAACTTCCAGTGACTCACACTGTGCTCACGGTCACTCATTATATTAGAAGCTTAGATTTTTCCTGTTCTGCCACCTACAGTACTTGTGTACTGAAAGAATTTAACTCATCTTAAGTCAAAGCTACAATTTTTACAGTTAGTTTTTCTCCCTTTATCCACACCAGCTTCTGGGACTGTCACTATCAAGTGTGCTTTTAGTTAAAAAGTGATTTATTTGTGGACTGAATGTCTAAAATGCAGTAGGCAAATTGCTGAGTTGATTACATTTCATTTGAAATTGAAAGGCTTAGGAAATTCAATCACCCTTAACAATCCACTTATCATGATTTTTATTTAGACTTATTTAACTTTTTAAAGACTATCCAATTTATTCATCTATTTTATAATCTTACAAGGCAACTTGTAATAGTCATCATGATAGAGTTTCCATTTTTAATGTGTTTTAATCTTTCAAGGCTGTTATACTCCAAAATTTCAATTTGGTGTGCTCAATAAATCTTCAAGGATAGTGGATGTTCAGGGTTGCGAGGTACATACAGTCATGATTGAAGAGCAAATAACCAAGCTCCAATAGTCTGTTTTAATTTAGTAGGTCACGTGAAATGTTCATAGCATCAGTGATTGTACCATGATACCTGTGGCCAGAGAGCCTGTCTTGTCCTTGCACAGTCTTTAACTCTCTTGCATACATGTTCTTCTGCCTCCCTCTAGTGGACGGAGCCTGGAATGAGTGGTCTGCCTGGAGCGCATGCTCTGCTTCTTGCTCCAACGGCACCATGCAGAGAACACGGGAGTGCAACGGACCATCCTACGGTGGCTCTGAGTGCCATGGCAGCTGGAAAGAGACAATCAACTGTTTCCTGAAAGAATGTCCCGGTAACAAAGAAACTTAAATCCCAGATTCAAAATTCACTATCCAAATAAAAGATAACTGAATTAGTCATATCATGGCCCAGAATTCATGGGGTGAAACATTCTCTGTCTTTAGTTGATGGACGCTGGCATGCATGGAGCTCATGGGGCAGCTGCAGCAAGACTTGTGGTGGAGGCATTCAGCAGAGACAGAGAGTGTGTGAAGGACCTTTCTTTGGTGGAGAACCTTGCCCTGGTGATAAGGCAGAACAGAAGCGGTGCAATGAGAGAAGATGCCCTGGTTAGTGACTTCAATATATAGGAATGGATAAGATTAGCTTCATATAATATGATCAAATAAACAAACAGATTACTCATTACATTGTACATTTTTCTTAGAGCCCCATGAGATCTGCCCTGAGCAGAACACTGGAGATGTTGTGTGGAAGAAAACCCCTGCCGGAGACATGGCTGCTGTTGCCTGCCCTGCTGATGCCTCAGGTACAGTAACAGCAAAGATAGTGATGTGTTTTTTATCTGCTTTGCTTGCCATCCCCATGGTGCCAACTACAAGCACTTTCTTTCTATAACAGGTCTGATTCTGCGCCGGTGCACTCTGGACGCTGTAGGTCTTGCCTCCTGGGAGAACCCAACTTACATCAAGTGTGTGTCAAAGAACTATGAAAACATTCAGACTCTGGTAAGCCCTGAAAATGTGTCCTAATTAAGATGTTAAATGGCCTCGTATGCTGTGTTCTCATATGGCTCATTCCCCAGCAGTGTAGTCAGTGTCAGATATTTAGATTAACTTCTTCTCCTCTTCTACAGTCAAGGGACTATATCTCCAAAGCGCAGATGGGTCAGAGTGTGGATGGGCTCGCTGAGGTGATTTCACGCCTGAGATTCTCCTCTGATGAGGGGGCCAAGTACAGCGGTGACCTCCTGGCAGTCATGGAAATCATGAAAAACACCACTGAACTGTACAAGGGAACCAGGCTGAGACTGAGCAACGCTGATGTTGAGGTAAGATGAAATCTTAGTAACAACTGAAAGGATCGAGTTATTCTCAACAATGTGTCATGTATATATTAAAAAATATCAAGTAGAAGTCTTGCTCTTTCGTGCTTCTCTGAAAAAATATACATCTTCCAATTAAGCTGGATGTTGCTTTTACACCTACCTCTATTTAATGACCTGCAGAACTATGTCCAGACCATCAGCAACTTACTGAAGGAGGAACACCGTGACAAATGGGAAGAGGCACAGCTGGTACGTGATAAGAGGGTGTGTGTAAAAAAGATCCAGAGTGCATATGAGTCGTGGGAGAAAATAAGTTTGTAATGCTAATGTTCTTGTGATGAGATGAGTGTGTGCAGGATTCATTATGGGAGAGAGTTGTTCGGGTGTGAATCTGAAGTGAAATATGTGAAAATGTGAAAAAGAGACAGGCTGAGGCACTGATGCACTAATTAATGCTCCCAAATACCTTTTTATTCAGTCAAACACTGATTGGAATTCAATAGGAATATGGCATTAAGAGTTAAATAGATCTCATATTAGACAGACTTATCATCTAGCACTGCCTAATTATTTTTTACATTTCTTCATGAGTTATTCTTACAACTAAACAGAACTTGTTTGACCACCTGTTGGTATATATTCTCCACACTTTCATGATGCTCTATCAGTGTTCCTATTAGTGAGTGAAGTACCAGTTTAGTACGAAATCGAGGTTCCACAAGAAAGAAAGAAAAACTGCAGCAGAAAAATCAGACAAACACAAGATTTATATTGCAGAGAGTAAACATGTTCTTGTGCATAAATTGAAAACTGGATGGTGGACTACCAAGGCAGATACAAAAGATAACAAAAAAGGAGTGAGATTGAATCAGGGAGATTCACTACGCCCACTTTGCAATCTGCACGTCTCTGTGTTTTTTACATCCCAATGGCAGTTGTAAGGGAACACAGACAGCACATCGCATGCAAGCACACACCTTGCGCCCACATCGCTGCAGTTCTGCGTCAGAGACACGCAAGTCAGGCAGCCCTCTCTTCCACCAAGTGAGAGGGAGAGGACAAAAAAAACTGACTATGAATCAACAGCCTGCCCATTTATGGTCTTAAGGAAGCTCTGAGGTTGCATAGCAGCAAGAAGTATGATTTTTTTTTTCGCTCCACTGCTGAGCACTCTGAAAGAATAAGTACAAGTTGGACTGACACAAGAATAGGAAATATGGGCATGTAATCAATAGTCACAAGCAATTAAACTAATTATGTAAATTTCATATAGTGAAACTAGATGATTCTGTTCCAGTCCCCTTTCACTACATCCCTCTTTTCTGACTCTTCCTCCATCTCTCTTCCTTCTTTTCATCTTCTATTATCCAGATGGGTGCCAGCATTAAGGAGTTCCTCCGCCTTGTTGAGGACTTTGTGAACATGATCGGTATGCAAATGAGCGGCTTTCAGGACATTTATGAAGTCACAGAGAATTTAGGTGAGCTCTAATTTACTCTGCCAGCTGCTCCCTGCTCATGTCTAGTCAGGATGATTTGTCCTTCCTCCAGCCAGAGAGTACATCAATCTTCATCTTGCCTGTGAATCTGAGTCCATATAAGCTGCAGCAGACTGCATCAGTTATCGCTTTGTGTCCATCAGCTATACCATATTGCTTGTGCCAAGATGTTGTGCATCTAATCATAGGGTATTTCACATAACACATGCATGGCTTTTATACAGATTTATCAATCTGTCAGATGTTGTGACCGTTGTGGCACAGTGAAGGTGACATTTTCACAGGATTTAGTGGGAAATGACTACTTCAGTCAGACACATGACGCATGAAACCAAAATGTCCTTGGCACCATTTGCTTCACTTCACTGACCAACTCTTCAATTAACACTGTGTGTAAAACTGTGCAGAAGCCAATGACCTTTTAGTCCAGTTTGCTAACAAAGCCTCTGTCTCTCAACTTCCGTCTTTCTCAGTGCTGAGCATCCACAAGCGCCCAACAACTACAAGCTCCAACTTCACCTTCCCTGTGAAGGGCTGGAGGGGCATGTTGGAGTGGGTCAGGACCTCCGAGGAGAGGCTCACAGTGTCCCGTGATGCTCTGTCTATTGAACAGTCTGGTAAGATCAAACAAACATAATGTTTCAGGAGATTAACTGATCTTCATTTTTATGAAGCTGAGTCTAAGCAGATATTTGTTCCTTTCCAGATGGCAATGATGCTTTTGTGACTGGCATCGTCCTTTACAGAAACCTTGCTTCTATTCTGTCCTTCCAGAGGTAATTCAATTTCCCTGCTTTTATATGTATGAAACTGGCCTTCCATGAAATATATTTTGCTGTCACAAGATGGCGCCCCTTGTTGAAAGACTCGCTCCTTCTCTATTCTCTCAAACATTTCTTGTCTCAGCTTTTCATATAAAGCCTTTCAGATAAAGAGATTAAACCATGTTCACTTCCTTATGATGTGTTGTTTACACCACACTGACTGTGGAATTTCATTTTATCCACAGTAATACCAGCCTGCTCAACTCCAAAGTGGTGACAGTGATCGTCAAGCCCAACCCAACTCTCCTGTCATCCCCAGTTGAGATTGAGTTCCCCCACCTCCACAATGTAAGCCCCTATTGGTTACCTAAGCTAATGGAGCCTGATGAAAAATATCAGCCCCCCTCGGGGTGTTTGCTCACTGCAGTGCACGGAGTCTGACATTTTGTTGACATTTGCAGTAACACTGTGACTTTTACTTTTACTTGTGCCATTGAAACCTGGCCAAGATCACAGCATAACCAAATGGTCAACTGATGATGAGACCTCATGCACAGTAATTAGTTTCTGCAGCTAAGGCTGTTTTGCATTTTGTGTTTGTATTATGAGGGAGAGTGGTTAGAAATGTGAGCAGGTGCCTTGCAGCAAGTTGTTGCATCTCACACATTTGTAGTACGGTGTCGCGACCTACACATTTCCCTTCTCTGCAGAAATTCCTCACCCTGACATCTCCTTCTGCCTCTTCTTTGCAGGGCACCATGAATGAGACATGTCTATCGTGGGATGAGAGTGAAACGTAAGTGTTGGCCTCAGCTTCTGCATCTGCATGCTTCTTCTTCATGTGAACATTCAAGAAGAGCATTAATGTTTCAGACATTTTTAATGTCAGTCATTTCCAGTAAGGAGGACAGAGCAATGTCACAGCACGTTGACCAGGCCTCGCTCAGCTGTCTGACATACTTAGTGCATGACACACATGACAACCCCAATGAGCCACAGTGAATCTAGCTGAATGACACTTCACAGTCCCCTGCATCGCTTAAAATGCACCACATCCTAAGGAAGGGGATATATACAGGCAATATTTCTAACCTCATTACATACATCAGTGAGTAAATTCATCGCAGCACCCCTATATGTCACAGCACAGAGTGTCAGCCTAAAGACAATGGCAGCTCTCCCAGCTATGGTGTTTGGGAGTTTTTAAAAATGCTTACATGCATTTGAATGACTTATAAAAGGAGCTCCTAGTGGCCCAGCCTGGATCAATTGGCCATAGTCCCACTCTGCCCTCCTAAAAGATAAATAGGTGGATCATTTGCATTAAGATAGATTTGTACATTTGTGGAGAACAGCTAAGAATAAAAAATGCACCTGCACCCAGACCCTCACCGCATAGCTTGCCATATAAACAATAACAACCAGAGTAAAAGCAAAATGATTCAAAGGAGAAAATGTAATTTAATTACATAACTATCAGAGAGGGTGAACCTATTCAAATTAGCTTCATTTTTAAGAGCGGATGAGATTAATGGCAAACTGGGGAAAGCTATGGCTAATGGCAAAATTTGGGGTTGTTTTGCAGAGCTGCAAATGTTCGAGAGCATTCTAATCACGGGGAGTGGTCCATTAGTTCGTCCACTAATGAACTTTAACCAGATGAACACAGATAAGATGTTCTGCAGCTTTTTGTGGCATGAAAATTAAAGATAGGAAACATAAAACATGGCCGCACATGCACCAGTATCTGCATAATATGACATCTTGAACATCACATGCATCAAACTGTGCAGCCACGCCTACTTAGATGACTTCCCAGTTAAATGCCATGATGATTTTTTCGCCACTGCCATCCAGCTACAACACTACGGTTGCACCTCCTGGCTATGATGTCCCTCTGTAGTCACCAGTCAGTCAGAGCCTGGGGAGGCTGCTCATTGCCCTAACCTCCCCTGTACTCTGGCATCAGCTGCTAATGCTGCTTACACACAAAGGCAGAACTTGATTTGCTTGGCTTAAGCCTTAGAAAAAGATCTGAGTAAAATACTGTAGATTCAGTCATTTGTAGAAGTTGGTTTGTTATCAGACAATTGTTAAAGAGCATCTCATTTGAAAGAGTCATCATTGATTTCACTTTGTGCTTGTAATGTATTTTTTGCTTGTTTGTTTGTTTTGCTCAGCCAGACTTGGCACAATATAAGTGAACATAATAGGACCAAATATGCAAAAGAGAAACAGTTACCTTCATTTGATATATAAAATCAATTGCAGTGCAGATCCTCTTGCAATGAAAAAGTAATCACATTCCCCTAGTTCTGTTTCAAACGAAAGAACACAATGTCCTTTGTCCCCATTGCACTGGCCAAGGTTTACCAGTACTCCCATGTCTATTGAGGATAGATTAACCATAACAACAATGATATAGATTATGCTAATAATGAGATTTATGAAGGCCTATCATTATTAATCATGGCACAGATGGCTGTTAATCACATCACTGTAAAAACCCTTATCAAAGCATCCTGAGATGCAACAGAGCACCAAATATCAAATATTGTATCAAATAACATTTATTTTTTTGTCATACAGGATCACAGAACTAATATGTCACTATTTTAATCTTACATCACATGTAAAAAGAGCATGTATTGGAATATTTAAAATGTAATAATCTAATCATTCCATAAACAGAATGTTCTAAATATTTCAACTTTTTTTTTAATCGTATAATCAGTTAAGATACATTTCGTTGAGAGATTTGTCAGAGCTCTCCTCTCCTAACCGGTCGGTGCCTTTCCCTCCTCTTCTCTGTGCAGTTCCTCTCTGCTTGGATCTTGGTCTGCTCGGAGCTGCAGAGCGGTCCCCGTTCATTCATTCAGAACCAAATGCGTGTGTGACAGCCTCTCCACCTTCGCCATTTTAGCGCGCATCAACTTCGACTCGGTAAGTCTCATGTTTTCGCTATGTGAGCTTATTGTTTTTCCACTATACATGTTAAATGTTTGGTGCAGTGTGGACGTATGGTACTTGTTGTTTTCGAGCGGTTTGCTGTAGCGATACCAGCAGCTCTTTGTCTCCGTGCAGGTGCCGCTGATCGGAGACTTGCAGCCCCCCCCAGCCACTAAAAACCCTGGTTTATAAGCAGGAAACGCGTTTAGGTTTTAAAATAAGAGCATTATGTTTAGCATTTTGATTTGTTTTGCACGAGTGTGTTAATGTGATGCTTATTGTCTTGCCGTTATTAAAATAAAGATCATCGCAGTAATGTAGCTGCATGCATGAAAATTAAGAAACTTTGATCCCAAATTACTCATTTAAACACTCAAAAATGACTTTTTAATTATTGGGTGACAGTTGGAATTAATGTGCGATCGTGCGTGTTAGGTACAGAGTTAGTGCAGAAGAACTTGTTAGCACCGGATGCTTTTGCAATTTCTGTCATTACACATCGTTGTATTTTATGCGCAAAAACAGTGTGTAA